CTCCTCCTCCTTCTCTTCTTCTTCTGCTTCTTCTTGTTCTTGTTCTTGTTCTTCTGCTTCTTCTTGTTCTTCTGCTTCTTCTTCTTCTTCTTCTTCTTCTTCCTCCTCCTCCTTCTTCCTCCTCCTCCTCCTCCTCCTCCTCCTTCTCTTCTTCTTCTGCTTCTTCTTGTTCTTGTTCTTCTGTTTCTTCTTTCTCCTCTTCCTCCTCCTCCTCCTCTGCTTCTTGTTCTGCTTCTTCTTCCTCCTCCTTTTCTTTTTCTGCTTCCTCCTCCTCCTTCTTCCTCCTCCTCCTCCTCCTCCTCTTCCTCCTCCTCCTCCTCCTCCTCCTTCTCGTTCTTCTTCTTCCTCCTCCTCCTCCTCCTTCGGCTTCTTCTTGTTCTTCTGCTTCTTCCTTCTCCTCCTCCTCTTCTCCTCCTCCTTCTCTTTCTCCTTCTCCTTCTTCTTCTTCGTCCCACTCAGAGGAGGAGTTAACTAACTATTTGTGTGTGTCCGTAGCTGCCCATAGGAAAATTACAGACCACCCTCACCCTGCCACGCCTGCCACGGCCAGGCAGCAGATCATCATGTCTGCCATAGTTCGCTCACCAGAACACCAGCCCACGCCCATCAGCCTGCTGGCACCTCCCTCCAGCCGCCGAAAGGAGGCCTCCACGCCAGAGGGTAAGGCTTGAGGGAGGGGGGAGGGGTCAGCTTCGGGAGGGATTCTGGCCCAGACAACCCAGAGACCTCTTCCAGCTGCATAGGGTGCCCGGCTTCCTAATAGCGCCAAGCCAGGATCGAAGCGTCGTCAGCAGGTGGTGCAAAAAAAAAAGCAACAATAAGGGACTATTTAGCGACAGCCAAAAGCTGGGCTAAATCGTAAAGTTCCTAGATATAAAACCAGAATACGGGTAGTCCTCCACTTACGACCTCAGTGGAGCTCCAGGTTTCCGTTGCTAAGCGATTCAAGGGAGGGTTTTTTTGCCCCGGTTTTTATGACCTTTCTCGCCACCGTTGTTAAGTGCAGTTCTTAAGTTAGTGCGGCAATTGTGACGGGAATCTGGCTTCCCTCTTGGCTCGTTCAAAAGGTCGCGAAAACTTGACCCCAGGAAACACTGCAACCGTCCTAAATACGAGTCGGTTGCTCGGGGTTTATTCCAAGTCAACTGTCCAGTTGGCGATCCCAGAAAAAGAAACTCCAGAGATATTATTTTTACCAAGAGTATATAAAACTTTACTGAATAAATCCACACTGGCGCGCAGAAGGATCGAAGCCAGCTCTGGGTTTCCCCGCGCAAAAGCAGGCATAGTGGATCCTCCCTTTTTTGGCCCAAGGGCCGCCCACAGTTCGTTACGTCCACCAATCCCTTCGGTTGACTTTGTATGGGAGCCAGCCAGCCACGCTGACACATCCGCTCGGTGTCTCTGAGGTGGGTGGGAGCACCTGGCCATGCAATTGGATGCAATTGCCCCCTTCTGGCCTGGGGAATTCTGGGAGTTGAAGTCCAGAGGTCTTAAAGCTGCCTGCAAGGCTAGACAGCCGCAACCTAAACCTTCACAGTTAGGAAATAGTTAATGAAGGACCGTCATAGCCACATCGTTGCTTTCGGAAGGATTCGGAAAAGTTGGAAGAGGTTTAGAGAAGGCACGGCTGGCTGGAGGATTCTGGGAGTTGAAGTCCACAAGTCTTAAAGTTGCCAAGGTCGGACACACCCCTGGCCTATAGTATAAACAGACTGGAGTTTAGCAGATCCCTAAAGGTGGTAGGGGACACGGCGGCCCAGCGGCTAAGACGCTGAGCTTGTCGATCAGAAAAGGTTAGCGGTTCAGCGGTTCGAATCCCTAGCGCCACGTCACGGAATGAGCTCACGTTGCTTGTCCCAGCTTCTGCCAACCTAGCAGTTCAAAAGCAGGTTAAAAAACGCAAGTAGAAAAATAGGGGCCCCTTTGGTGGGAAGGTAACAGCGTTCCGTGCACCTTCGGTGTTTAGTCCTGCCGGCCACATGACTACGGAGACCGTCTTCGGACAGCGCTGGCTCTTCAGCTTTGTAACGGAGGTGAGCACCGCCCCCTAGAGCCGGAAACGACTTTACCTAAAGGTGTTAATCGGTTTGGTTGCTTGAAAAAGGGAGTTGAGAGCAGGTAAAACTAGGAACCATCCTGCACCGACAATCTTTTCGCAGAGCTGAAAATAACTTCAGCGTCTCAAAGCCCAATTAGGATCCGGATTCCAACTCGTTCCAAGAAGGATCCAAGGACATCAGCTCCTCCTCCCCGCTCCCTGGATTCCAAGCCCATAATACTTGATCTCCAAAAGCCACGTAGTGTTCAGATCCACACGCAGAAACCCTGCACCGTCAACAATTTACCTTGTTCTCTGTGTGATTTCTCCGTGTTTCCTTGTAGGGTTTGGGTGTCGTATTGTCCTCAATGTCCCAATGACAGCTTGTCTTTGAGTCCCCTATCTGTCCATGTGATTCAGTCATGTGACCAAGAGACCTATTGTCCTGCTTTGCTCAGGAGTGTGGAGACCCCGCGAGTTACGACTTCACTGTATTGTTTTCAGAAAGGCTCTGTTGGGAACTAATGACGGTTTACCTTACAGGAGTGTGTTAACCATTGCTGAGATAATTATATGAAGTTCTGAGAGCTCTCAGAGCTTTGTGTAAGCGCTAATTATCTCAGTTTTTGTTTCTAGAGACGCTAAATGACTAACTGGCAGGTCTACAGACGTTTAATTCCAGAGTTCCCCAAATTTGAACAATATCAGCATATCAACTGATGCTAAACTTTGCATCAGCTGCCAAGCAGCAGTACTCTGTCTGAGTCCTGCTGCTCTTGAATTACACCCCCTTTGTTCTTTACAAGTTTTCCCCCCCCCCCCAGTAAACACCTTTATTTACCAATTGTTTCTCAAATTTTCTGATTTTGCCTCCGTTGGCTTTCCCAAGCCCTGTTAAAAAGCCAGGCTGGGTAGGTCCTTCGGCGATTTTCTCAGGATCTCAGGGCGGTCTTGGAGGAAAGGACGTTACTGCTTTAAAAAGTGGGCTCCAAAATGTAACACGGTATTCCAAGCTACCCAGAGTAGATTTTTCTCATTATTTCCAAAGCAAGGCAGGCCTCAGCTGTCAATGGTTTTTGACGATAAATGGGTATTGCTGTGAAAAGAAAATCTGGATACAATTTCAATTGTTTGTGTTTAAGAGTAGGCAGGAGGGATGTGGTGGCCTAGTGGTTAAGATGCTGGGTTTTTTGACCAGAAGATGGGCAGTTCGAAACCCAAGCACCACTGGATGGATGGATGGATGGATGGATGGATGGATGGATGGATAAATGTGAAGATGGAGACATAGATGGATAAATAGATGATAGGTAGATGAGTAAGTAGATAAATACCATGGATGGATGGGTGGATCCTAGTGAGAGAGAGAAAGATAGATGATAGATAGATAGATGATAGATAGATAGATAGATAGATAGATAGATAGATAGATAGATAGAT